CTCTTTGCTCCTACTGGATTAATTGGATCCTAGCTGCCTAATTCCACTTAGTCCTGAATCACTACTTCTCCAAGCTGGGCAGGTTAGCAAAGAAGACACATTTCATTTGTGCTGTGTGACCTCAGGCAAGTGAGTAAGCCTCTCTGGGCCTTGGCTACCTACTAGTTGAATAAAGCAATCAGAAAATTCCAGAAGGGGCCACAGCTCCTTCTATGATTTTGAAGGTTTCTCTTTTATGAATGCCCTTGCCCTTTTATAATTGTTCCTGAACAGCAGAGCTGGGCAAACCGAGTGGTCTGGGGCAAGGGGGGCCAGGCTCTGACCAGGTGAGCCCAGAAGAGGCAAGAAAGACTGTCTGCTCCCCACCTTGCAGCCCAAACCAGCCACTAATGAGGCCTGTCTGTGGGGTAATTAGCCACAATCACAGCGCGGCACATTAGGCAGACATGGCCCCGGTGCAGCAGTGGCAGCTCCTGGGACGTGGGAGCCCAGGGCTTTGAACATTGCATTACGGCGGGGGTGCGTCCTAATGTCACTTAATTACCCCAGGCAGCCTCAGATGTAATTGAGCCTGGATGGGCTGGCAGGAGCGGGTGCAGGCATTCAGAGCAGGCTGATGTGTTTGTAAGGATGCCATTTTGCAAGACAAATCTGGCCTTGGTGGGCTAAAGACGGGGAGGGTGAAGTGGGGGTGGGAGTCAGAAAACTACAGCAGTATCCAGACAGGGCTCTTGCTCCCCTAAACTCCTAAGATCCTGACCCTAGGTCGAACAGATGTCTTCATGGAGTTGGGTGGCACCTAGAAATTAGAGGTGGGTCGTCTCCTCCCGCCCTCTCATCCACAAGCCTGGACGGGTCAGGCTCTGGGGCATCGTTCTTTTGATCCACTTCCTGGGAACAGGAGTGGTGGATGATGGGTAGAGGAGAAGGACTAACAGGTGGCAACCAAAGACAGGGCTGTGAGGGGGGTGGTGGTCACTTCAGAGGGAGTGCGGGTGGCTCTGCCCTCAAGGATGCTGTGGACTGCTCTGAGTGAGCCTTGTGGAGAAGGAGAAGAGCTCCAAGGCACAAATCTGGCCCTGGAGCCCCGAAGGCCGACTCCACACGGCACGCTTGCCAGCTCACATCCCTCTAGAAGCAGAGACCCAGCAGTCAGGAACTCGGGCCTCTGAAAATTCCTTAAAGGAGCAACATCTACCCCACTACTTTACAATCCCAGCACCTACCACAGGGCCTCAACTAGTATTTATTGATCTGGGTAAGTGGTTGAATACAAACTACCCACTTATCTTCTGGTGCCAGTCCTTCCCCTCTGAGGTGGACAACCTGGACAGTGGGAAGCAAAAGACTCAGTGGCCAGTAGAGGCAAACCTACTCTAAGTTTGGCACAAAAGCTAAAGATTCATTCTCTTTTCTCCCTCCATCTCTCTCCCCTTCTGACATGCCCCCCAACATATCAGGAAAGCAGGCTGTTAGCTGTAGCACTTCTAATAAGGGTCAGGAATGCTGCCATGGAAAAGATAGTTGTTGGAGAGTTCCCTGACAAATCGTGGAGTGAGGGTACTGTTTATGCCATTAGGAAGAAGCACTATTTGGCTGAGAACTTGCATAGGCAGTGAGTTCAGAATGCCAAGTGACAGGGGTTGTTACAAAGGGCATTCAGACACTTCCCTCCCATAGGTTATCAGACAGAAGAATGCCGGGGCCATGGCCCAAAGGTTGGCAGGGTGAGTAGATACTATGGACTGCAGGGTGAGGAGGAAGAGAAGGAACAGAGGTCACCAAAGTCTCTAATAGGGGGCAAGAGGCTGGGAACACACCCTCCCTTCTATAACAACTGAGCAGTGGTACAGTACCCTGAGGCTTCTCCTTTTCTCTCTCTCTCTCTCTGAACCACGCAGGACCACTTCAGGAATCTCCATCCATATCTCACTGTGCAACATGAATTAATCCACTGTCTCTCACTGGATCTGTGTTATCTCCACTTGAAAACTTAACAAACTGGACTAGACAGTGGCCATAGCACTTCTAACTTTGGCATTCTGTCTGTCTGTCACCTAAAGAGTCTATGAGAGACCATGTCTCTCCCTGGGATCCTTGTCACTGCACCCAGAGCCTACACACTTCCTCCTCAGAAACTCAGCAGTCTTGTGACCCACAGTGACATTGAGAGACACACTGTTCTCTATCCTGCCCAATGGGCCATGTGCCAACACCTGCCTTCTCCCCCAGAGCCATCTGTCACCATCCTGGCGTGTCGGTGGGAAGACGGCTTCATTAGCTCCTTCAGAGCCATCCATCCCCTGGTGCAGAGACAAATGAAGTCCTCCTACCCCCTGAGCCAGGAGGAGCTCAGAATCCAGAGGTAAATCTCCAAATGGTCACCCTGACAAATTGCTTCCTATACAGTTCTTCTGCCTGAGGCCATACCAACTCTCCCCAATGCAAGAGGTGCCAGCCTCTCTGGATGCATCCCCAAAAGCTCCCTCAGCACCAGTCACCATGCCTGAAGTCCCCACCATTAGAGAGGTCACTGAGGCACTCACCCTCCACGTGTCTATTAAGATGCAAACAACTCTGGTAGAAAAAGAGCATAAGACACAAAAGGCCTCTTTTCTGCACTATGTGAGCTTGGAAGATTGCTTTCCCTTTTTAGAGAAGCTTAGCTTTCCTATCTTTAAAAGAAGAGTCAGCAAGGTGTGGTGGCACATGCCCATAATCCCAGCCCTGGGAAGGCTGAGGCAAGCGGATCACTACAAGTTCCAGGCCAGCCCAGGTAACATAGTGAGTCCAGGATAGCCTGAACTACATAGCAATACCCTGTCTCAAAAAGAACAAAAACAAATAATCAGTCTAGACTCCAGATCATCTTCAATCCCTTTGATCTCTGATATGAGTTTCCGCAGGGGTATCCCTGGGGTTCAGAGAATATCATACTATATCCTTCACAGCCTTGAAAAAGCAATCTGTGGTTTTATTAAAAGATACTGATAGATCAAAACAAACAGGTACTCACCCATGCCCCTACATGCTCATAAGAAACTCTACTGAGCCCTGCTCACCATGACTTGGAGCATGACCCTGACCCTGGGGAACATTTCAAGGGAAATCATGAAGTTAAGTCGTGGGCCTGGTCTCAGAACTCTGGCATAACAAGCTGGAAGCACACTTAGGGAAAAGATGTTACACATCGAGGAACAAGATGGCCAATTTTCTTAAGAGTTTAGGAGTGAGACTCAGAAGTGGAAGTAGAGCCACAGGGATGAAAAGCCTTCAGGGAAAGAATGAGGAGTATTTCTGGGACCAGAGTGAAGGCTCATCTAGCTGGAAGGAGAGAAACATAAGGATGTGAAGAGAGGCCAGAATGGACCTTCAAGGGCTGGTATCTTGATCCTGTAAGCAGAGAGAATCTATTAAAGGCTTTTGGTAACAGAAAAGACCGAGCTTAGAGGAGTGTTCTGTAGCAGAGGAGATGCACCTCACCATTCCAGCCCTGGGGACAGTAGTTGCTTCCTTTCAGCAGTACACGGGTCATGAACACCTTCCCGCCACCCTGGCTTCCCCCTTGGAGTTACGGGAGATGGGAATGGGGGTTGGATTGGACTTTCAGCACCAACGACTACGGACAGCTCCAGTCCATTGGCTTTCTATGAGGAAGGGATTAGTAGGTTTTTCAGCACCTCAAGAGCCACGGACAGCTCCTGGTCACCCAGTTTCTGTGCCGAGGTTGGGGGGAGGGAGTGAGGGAGCAGAAGGAGAGGGACTGGTGTGTTGACTTCTATTATCAAGGGGCCCAGATGTAAAATGAATGCCTGTGATATTTATCCCTGCCATCGCTAATAATAAGTGGCCTGATTTGTCAGGCAGGGACAGATTCAAAGATGTCAATTAAGAAGAGAAAAAAGCCCAGCTGTTCTTTATTTATCTGCTGTGCAGATGCTTTGTGGAGGAAAGGACTTGGATATTGGGGGGGCCTCAGGCCCGCACCCTACTCCTTCTTTCTGTACCCCTTCCCTTCCTGAACCCCCTCTTCCTCTATTCTGCCCCCATCTGCCCTAGTGTCTTGCCCTCACATCTTGTTTTGTTTTCCCTCTCCTTCCTCACTGTTTTCTGTCTTTTACCTTTCTCCTCTCTACTCTCTCCTGTCCCTCTCTCCTAGCCCAACAAATTACCTCCTTGGTATTCTCATTCTTTGGCTTACATATACCCCTATTTCCCCTCTACACACCTGTCCCTCCTCTCCCAATTTCCCTTCCTTGAGACCTCTGGCTGCTATGACCCTTGTCTTTCTAAACCGGCCTCCTCCAATGATCTCTGTTTACAAAGCATACTCTGGACTCAGACTGTTAAATGGTTATGAACCATTGAGGAAAAGCTGAAAAGGCTGCAAAGTTTGAGGTTTTCATTTATATCACAAGCAGAGTCAGCTTTTGAAAGGATTTGGCTTTGAAAAATAAAATCAAATCCTAGAGAATCAGTTTGGCCAGTTCCCTGAATCTAGATTAAAATTTAAAGCCAAGAGCTGAATCTAAGTAAGAGCTCAATACTTCTTTTTCTGACCTCAAACTAATCATGCCTTAGCCCTGGAATTCCCTGTGAAGGTTTTTCTCTCACAGCTGAAGTGTTCTACAGTAAGATCCCCATCCTATATTTGAGTTCTATCCAATCAAAAAGTTGTAGAGAAATGGACTCAGTGTGGAAACCAGTCCCATCAGGGCCGCTGTATTCTAAGGGGGGTCCAGGAAAGATGTGGGGATTTGTCTGTTTGATGCAGTCATCACTCTGGTCCTGTCCACCCACTGACACTGTGGAGCATTGTTGGCTTCTTCTAGAGAATGCATCCCACCTAGACATTCCAATCTGGGCTGTGCACTCTGTCCTGCCTCCCCCACCAAGGCTCTGTCTTGCCCTTTGTGAGTAATAATGAAATGGCTCACTGGATTCTTGGTTCTAGATTCAGAACTGCATGTGTGAATAGAAACCCTTTCCCTGGACTTCCTGCCCCAGGCCTACAATCTCTCCAGCCTTTGATGATTTCATGTAACCATGCCAACCATGACATCACTGACGAAGGGCTTTAGAGCCATATTCAATATGGCTGGAATCAAGAGCTGCAGGGTGTGTCAGTGTGTGGTCAGAGACAAAGGAAAGCCATATGACCCCTAAGACACCACTGGTTTTGCCAAGTTGTCCAGAGCCAGCTTCTCTAGGCCTCACCAGCTGAATGTGGGCAGGAGATACTTTAGCCACATCCTGAGATGTGCCTGCATCCACAAGAGAAAGAAGAAAGCTATCTCCGAGTTGTTAAAATGATTCAGACAACCGCCATCACTCCTGGGTTACTAACAACCAGCTCCATCCTCTTCTAACTTCTCTCCCTCCTCCCATCTCCTCTGCTGGTGTCCTTGAGCCAGAACTCCCAGCATCCCTGCAAGGACTGGACTCTCCATATACTGTTTCTTCTGCTCATCCTAAAGCATCCTTATGAAGCACAATGACATGTGTGGATTCTCCAGAGGCTACTCGGATCCCTTGGAAGAGACCCAGGGTACAGAAATCAAGTCACCTGACTACCCCAGCACTGTGCCATTGGTAAGGATTTTGGAGGGTAATTTGTAGTTTTCAAAGTAGTTCTCCACTCATGATCCTTTTTTCCTCTGATTTTATTTCATCCTCATACAAGTCCTAGGAAGAGACTGAGACCATGTAGCTTGATCACATTCTGATGGAAAAATCTAACATTCCCTTCAGAGTCTGATTTGAAATTCAGGCTCCTTGCCCAATGATCCTTCCCCTGCTCCACAGCTTCAAGGCTTGTCTCAAGGATAGTACGAAGATCACACAATGACCAGATAATGTCTGAAGATGACGTTTAGTTCACAGGGTGTGCCATGGTTGGTATGTTTCCTCCCCAAGTTCACATGCTGTAAACACAATTGCCAAATTACAGATGTGGGAGTCTTGGAGAGGGAATTAGGATTAGATGGGTATATTTGTCACTTTCCCTTTGCTAGGTCCAAATACCTAACACCTACATTTAAAGGATGAAAGGGTTTATTTGGCTCAAGGTTTCTGAGATTCCATCCAGTCACCTGGCTCCACAGTAAAGACATGAGGGAGGAAAGTTGTTCATCTCATGGCTTCACCATGAAGTAGCCAGGCAGCTTCACCAGACGCCAGCACCCTGCTTTTGGACTTCTCGGCCTCCTGAATTGTGAGCCCAATACACTTCTGGTCTTTATAAATTACCCAATCTGCGGCATTCTGTTATAGCAGCAGAAAACAGACTAAGATAGAGAGGCAAGTGTCATAGACAAAGAACTGATCTTCACCCGAGTCACTTGTTATGGTTTAATTTGAGCTCACGAAGTCAAGAAATGCTACATGAGCCTGTCCTTCAACTCTCAAGGATGAAGCAAGCCACTGAAAATGTCTCTGGACTGATAAACTGGCAATGTTTTCTTCAAGGCTATTTCTATTTCCTCTTTTATATGTATCACTGAAAGAATAATAATAAAATTATAATAATGATAATAAACATTTATTGGGCACATAATATATCCAAAGCTAGGCTAAATAACTCACTGCATTATCTCATTTATTGATCACAACAACCCAATCATGTATGTACTATTATTTCCCTTTTTGTCAGAGACAAAGACTGAAGTCCAAAGATGATAACTAACTTGCCCAAGGTCACAGCTTATCAGTGGCAATCAGCACTTGGTCTCAGATCTGCATTTCTCAAAAGTTTCAGTGTAGGCACAAATTTTTTAAGCCTCTCATTTTGAGGTCTGCCCCTCTCAGCCTCCAAACTAAAGTTTTGGTAAAGGTGCAGATGAGAGCGATTCTCCCAGCAGCCTCAGACCTCGGGCTGTGTTCATCCAGGTGATTGGTGGGTGAGGTTCTGCAGAAGCTGACCAATGTCTGCCCTCCTTTTTGGAAGGTCTCCCTGCTCTGCCCCAGCCTCTCTTACCATTTCAGAACACCCTACCCCAACTCCCAGCAACCTGCATCTGCCCATTTGCCTGAGGTATCGGACTGCAGGTTACATTTTGCTATGTAGGGGAGGCCAGGAATCAACACTGGCTGCCTGAGCAGGCCTAAAGTCGCAGTGGAGGTGAGCATACCTCACACTACGAGGCCCAGCGGCTCTCTGCCTGCACATCTCACAGTGTGAGGTACGCTCCCAGGAGCAGCCTTCACAGCTGATGAAAGATGATACATGAACCCGGCTCCCTAGCTCCACAGACCACAGGCCACAGGCCAGCGCCAGGCGCATGCTCTGTACCCTCACAGAGCTGTGTCACGGAACTTGGCTCCACTCACCCCCGTAGTAGCTGACAACAGTGCCCCTGCTGTCTTGCCTTCTGGCAGGCTTCTTCAAGAACCCCGGCCAACCTCTGCCTGCTATCAGCAGTGACCTTAGGACCCAGAGCAGGGGTGCAGCACACGATCTGCCATTTCCGGCTTGAACAGCTCCCCAGTGCACTCTGGATGATATTCAATCTGTCTTTCAGCTGCTGCATGGTGCCCTGCAGGCCCTATCCCTGCCCACATCACTGTCCCCACAACTCTGGGCCCCTGCCCTCACTCCCTCCACCCAGCAGGCCCACCGTACAACTGCCCTCTACTGCCCAACACCCGCTCATCTTCCAAAGATCCAGAGCAACAGCCATTTCCTTAAGGGAAATGACCACATCCTCTGGAAAGAGTACTGCTCCCACCAAAGAGCACCACCTGACCTGTGTGTGCCTCTTTCACAGCCCCTGTGACCACCATAGGGCTTGCTGGGGCCACCTCTCCCAGCATGGCATGGTCCCTGGGGAAAATACCAGTCCAATTCCTCTTTTGAGTTACAAGCTAGCTCTCTAAAACCTGTAGACTGACTGAATGACCACTTTTCTCTGATAAGAGAGAGGAAATGCAGGCAGGGAGCCTCTGGGCCTCGTAGTGTGAGGTATGTTCACCTCCACTGTGGCTTTAGGCTCTGATGGCTGGGCCCAGAAAACCCAGTGAGGTGCTCTGTCCCCCACCCCTCAGCCTGGTCAGGCAGCCAGCATCTAAACAGAGATGGCTGATACTCTGGGAAGAGCACCTGAGTTTAAACCCAGATGGCTGCGGTCCTTGGGCAAACTACTTCATCCGTGTTTTTCAGTCTGAACCTTGGTTTGCCCAGTTGTGATGGGGGCTAGCAACTAGCTCTTTCCCAGGGAAGCTGTAGGCGCTCAAGACAGTAATCACTAAGGGGCCTGACACACCAGCTGGAGCACGAATGGTCTCCCTGGGAATGAAACCCCCTGGGAATGGGCAGGGCATGGGAGATGTGGCACACACCAGGCATTAGGGGAACATCTGCAATTTCATCTCAGTTACTCCATTTAACAGGTGGGTAAGTTAGGACCCAGAGAGCTGTTATCTTCTAAGGTCAGAGAAAGCCTCTGTCAGAGACAGAGCTGCAAGTGCCAGCCCATGGCGATGTTCTTGTCATTGTCATAAGTGGCCAATGTTGTTTAGATGATAGTTGCTTAAAATTTCTTTTTTTCCCACTCTACTCTATGGTAGGTCCCTGTGCAGAGTTTATCAAGATTTCCCTGTTCACCACCTTACCTGGCAAGCCTTGCATTGGCCTCATCATCAAAGACCTATGCACCCCAAAGTCTACAGGGCTACAAGACCACATAGGCTGAAGGACTAGAGAAGCCCTAGAGCCATCCGCCTTCTCTCTCCCACCAATGCCTTCCCAGTCCCCAAGTCCTCCCAGCAAGTAAAACCAGACCTGGACACTAACTGAGAGACGGGTGACTCCTCACTCATACGGAAGATGCCTACTGACCCCCAGCAAAACTCTGAACTCTGCACGGAGGCTAGGAAATCTATGGCTAAACCAGTCACAACCTGCACCCCAAGATGTTCAGGTTCTGGAGTATGGGCAGTTAGCAAGCAAGCAAAGCATGAGCCTCATGTGTGAGAACCCACACTTCCCAAACAAGCTCTGGAGCTAGGAGGTGTGCCCAGCACAGGACAGAGTGGGCACTGGTCTGGCAAGATCTCCTCTGAGGCCCACAATATGTTCACCATCACCCTTCCCCCCAAAACCCTGAGTACCACAGCGCCTGGCAGTGGACCCCAGATGCCCCCCAAAACACCTGTGATTGGATCAGTCTGCAGAGGAGACCCTTTGAGGGCAAAGAGGGGCAAGGAGGGGCAAGGAGTAGAGCATCACCCACTCCTCATCTTCTGCTCCCCCATAGACCAGCCCTTCCCCACTGAGCCCCCCTATTAGTAACGTGTGATACCATTAGCTTTGCTGTCACCAGCACTGACAACTCAGAAGTCCCCAGTAGCTGTCTGCAAAGACACAATAAATAAGGACTCTTAATTAACACCTCCCTTAGCTAAACAAATTAATTTTATGCAGTTCTCAAAGCAGCAATGTGATTTGCCAATGACCAAGGTGAGTTGGTCAGATTTGGCAAGAGCTGCAGGGCAGGGTCGGCTTGTTAACCTCTGTGGTGCATTAGAGACAGCAGGCTGTGGGTCTGAGTTCTTGCGCTGGCCTGGGGACAGAGTCCTAGATGCACAGCTGCAGGGTGGAATATCAGGTGGGAGGTCAGGAGCTCTGAAGGCTGCTCCCAGCTTGGCCTCCAGCTCCAGTGCGTCCCTGAACAAGTTTCTTCTCCTGGCCTCTGTCTGCCTCATCCTTATAATAGGCATCACTTCTTGTCATGCCTGTTAGCTCAGGGCTGTGAAGAGGAGCAAAAGCTGCTAATAGAAAGGAAGTTTATAAACTGTAGTGTGCTGTGCTCAGCTGAGAATGGGGATGATCTCTTCCTCCAGCTGCCAGAGTCAGGGCTGGCTCACCAGTCCTCCTGCATTTCCTTCTTCACACACATGGGCACTGGATCTGCCCCCATGACACTTTGGGGACGAAGAGGGCACTGACATGACAGTCAACCGCAACAGCTTCCAGGACCTGCCCACTTCAGCAAATGGCCTATACAATAAATGAGGCCCATCCAGCACTGCACTCTCAGCTGCTCCCTTTGAAGGGATGGTCTGAGCTGGCCCTGAGCAGAGGGGACTCTCCCACGCAGTCCCTGCCAGCCCCAGGTCTTCACGGGGGTCTGAGGGGGACCCCCAGCCATTCCCTGAACTAGCCCTGACCTCAGTCCCCAGCCAGGCCCAGCCCAGCCCACTCTGGCATCCCAACACCAGCCATGGCTGGACCTCTGCTGGGAGTGGCAGAGACCCTGGTTCCCCCGGGGTTCTCACTCAGGCACTGTCCACAGAAAGGAGCAGCCCGCTGTCCCCTCAGCACTGAGAGCCATTCCCAGGGATCTGTGCACAGAGACCTTCAGTCACTCATCAAGGGCCACACAGCAAATCTATAGCCAAGCAAGGACTCAGACGGCGCCCCCAGAAACTCCCCTTTCTACTTCTGGGCAGGAAGGAGTTTTTTATCCTCATTTTCCAGGGCTGGGAGAGCAGCAGGTCCTGATTGCTTCTCTCAGGCTTTCAGCACTAAACACTGAGTACCTACCTTGCAGCAGGCACAGGTTGGCAAAACAGGCAGAGCCCCTGCACCTACGGGAGCCACACTGAGCAAAGTCTTCCTCCGTGGTATCTGCAGCGGGCATTTCAGAGTAGCTGCCTCACTCTCTCCCCAACATGCGCATGTGTGGGTGCAACCTGGCAAAGCAGAGACCCCTTGAAAGGAGCTGTCAGGGGTACTGGGGTGGGCAGCTGACCCAAGATCTGTCTGTGCTGTGTGCCACCAGGAAGAAGGTATTGCTTCTGGTGGGAACACCAAGTGCTGTGTTAGGAATCCAGTCTACACGCGTGGGCGAGGGCAATGACATCGTCCTGTCCCCAAGCACACGCTGACCCACAGTGACCTGGCGCAGAGCTCACATTTCAGCAGCCACAATGGAATGGCTGGGGAGAGGATCCGCGCTGAACAGCAGCAGAGCTGCCCACCAGCGCCCCCCACATGCAGGGGACTCTGAGACCAACAGGAGGTCAGAGAGGCAGAGCCCAGTGCCCTGGCCCGTGTCAGGGGACCACGGGAGCCCCTGCCTTGGCTCCCTGAGACTGTGCAGTGCTTGACCTCAGGTGCTTTTGGAGAGGGAAGCCATCCCTTCCAGCTCTCCTGAAGTCCCTTCAATCCTTCAAACTGAAGACTCCAAGCAGAGCCTGGCCCATTCTGCCTGGAGAGCTGGATGGGGGGTAGCAGGAAATTGGAGCTGAAGGTGGCAGACCCAGGTTGAAGCCTTGCTCTCCATGAGCTGCTGTGTGCCCTAAGAGATGGAGCTGCTGCTGTGCTCCTCACAAGCCCAGGCTCAGGCTGGGGACAGGTGGGTGCTCGAGCACTTGAAGTCCCATCCTCCTGTCCCTGACACAGAGCCAGCCTTCCAGCATCAGAGTCCCAAGGATGTGGCATCCCAGCTTCCTCTGCCCGAAACCCTTCTCTTTGGAGGTTTGCAGAACCCTCACTCTGCACAACGCAGACACTGGGAGACAGCTCCGTGCCTCTCC